TGGGGCTAGAGGGAGGCTGGGGCTAGAGGGAGGTGTGGGGCTAGAGGGAGGCTGGGGCTAGAGGGAGGCATGGGGCTAGAGAGAGGCTGGGGCTGGAAGCTTTGGGGAGGAGCCCTGTGCTCCAGCATGCCACACGCGGTGAGGACACCAGGTGCTGTCAGATGATAGGCATCCCTGTCTCCTCCTCCCTGGGCCGTCACTCGGCCTCTAGGAGTCCCCCAGCACAGCCTCTGTGGGAGACAGACCATGGTGTTACCATCAGTGCCCAGGGCGCCACCTGCTTTAGAAGCTTTTTCACACCAGGTGAATTCCTCTGCTTTCTGGTCTGATAAGCAGGACTGTAGAAGGATAAAGGGGGCTCAGAGGGAATGGTGGAGTTCCTGGGTGGTGCAAATGGTTAACACGCTCGGCTGCTAATGAAAAGGTTGGGAGTTCGAGTCTACCCAGAGGCACCTCAGAAGCTCTACCTCCGAAAAATCAGCCGTTGAAAACACTATGGAACACAGTTCTACTCAAACACACCGGGGGTCGCAGTGAGTCAGAGTCAACTCCACAGCAACTGGTTTGATGAGCGGGACCCTCATCTTTTCAAATCACGGAAGAGGTGTGAGAACCACGAAGAGCCTCCTCTGTGGGCCCGGGGCACCTTCTAACCAGAAGGGGCTCTCCACCGACAGGGCAGGCTGCAGGGCCTGCTCCACTGGGTACACACCACCAGGGCTGCTTGGCCGTGAGAGTTAATTATGCGTTAAAAATGCAGATCTCTGGGCTCCCTCCCAGGCCTCAGCAGTTTGCAACTGGACACAATGAAGTTTGAGGGTTGCTGAGACTGAGGAGGAAACGCTGGTGGCATAGTGGTTAAGAGCTACGTCTGCTAACCAAAAGGTCAGCAGTTCGAATCCACCAGGTGCCCCCTGGAAACTCTATGGGGCAGTTCTACTCTGTCCTATAGGGTCGCTATGAGTAGGAATCGACTCAACGGCAACGGGTTTTACGGGAGGTTGAGGAACGAGGTCACACGAGGAGGTTTCCCACTAACAGGGAGACTTTCAACTTGGCACAGGTGCTACAGCAACACAAACTTCCTCCTGGGGGCGCCCTAGAGACAGCGGGCTGCTGCCTGGGAGCAGCTTCCTTAAAGCGGTGATTCTCCAATGAGGCTGTGCCCTGGGATGACCTGGAGAGCTGTAATGCAGGAAATCCTGATGTCCCAGACCAATCCAATCAGAATTTCTGGAAGCGGGTGCAGACATGGGGTTTTTCTAGTGCTCTGGGGATGACTGCAATGGACAGCCAGAGCCGGGCACCTCTGACTTCTTCCCAGTGCCTGATTGAGTGCAAAGAGCTCTCTTTTCTTCCTATTAGTAGTTGAGCATTTATATGCAAATATGTGTGACTGAGATCTCAAGCAGGGCTATCTACCCACAGCACTGGCCACTGAGTTTATACACAGATGGCAGGTGTGCTAAAATACAAGACAGGGGCCTTCCCTCACAATTTTACTTGGAAAGGTTGCCGTATGTTTAAGTTAGAACCAAGCCTTTCACAGATCAGGGGAAGGGCCAAGGGGCACCCTCAATTATTGTGTGGTCAAAGTTGAGCTAACCTCAACAAAGGCGGCAAAGAAACGTCTTTTCCTGGAGACAGGACTTCACCATCACACACGAGGGAGGATGTTGTAAGAAGTTTTTAAAGGTCACTTGCGAACAGTCTGGTAAGTAGTTATCCACCACCCATCTGGCTGCGATGCTGGAAGCTCTGCCACCAGTATTTCAAATACCAGCAGGGTCACCCATGATGGGCAGGTTTCAGCAGAGCCTCCAGACTAAGACAGACTAGGAAGAAAGGCCTGGTGATCTACTTCTGAAAAAATTAGTCAGTTAAAATGTTATGGATCACAACAGAATATTGCCTGACAGTGTTGGAAGATGAGCCCATTAGGTTCGAAGGTACTCAAAATACACAGTGGCTGCAAAAACGTACTCAACCATACCAACAATTGTGAAGACGGTACAGGACTGGGCAATGTTTCATTCTGTTGTATGTACTCGTCAAATGCCTGCTCATAACAGCTGACTCGATGGCAACAAGACACAAGGGGTTATACCCAGAGCTGAGTGCACACCAGTGGGTGAATGAAGGAAAAGCCTAATGTCCTAACGCAGAGTCACAAAAACACTTCGGAGGAATGTCCAGCGAGAGCAGCAGGCACGAATCAAAAGGGCTGCATGTCCATGAACTTGGACAGCAGTGATGACCGTGCTCTGACAAACCCAACAGGTGACTCAGAAAGCGGAGCTGGTGATGACCAAGACAGACACTGCAGATACAGTTAAGTCCTGGGTTACGAACCTCCGACTTACAGAGACAACTCCTACTTGCCCTTTTAATGTTATGTAAATTTGCGCCCCCCAACAAATTCTTCATGACAATTACCTACACTTGCTGCAGGTGTAACTTTTAGATCCGTTTGCACTAAAATTAAAAAAAAAACAAACCTGTTGCCATCACGTCAATTCCAACTCCGAGCGACCCTACAGGACAGAGTAGAACTGCCCCATAGGGTTTCCAAGGAGCAGCTGGTGGATTTGAACTGCTGACTTTTTGGTTAGCAGCTGAGCTCTTAACCACTGCGCCACCAGTAAGGCTAAATAAGAACCGTATGCGCCTCTTCTGACCTACCTACAAATTCAACTTAAAGACATACTTACGAACGGACCTCGTCTGTAACCGATCTCGTTCGTAACCCGGGTACTGCCTGCATTAGGGTGTGCCTTGTGGAATTGCTTATATCTGGCCGTTTTTTTACCCTGCAAAAGCGGCAGTTTCATATGGCTCAATTTTGAGTAAATTTGTTTTGTAATAAACTAGAGAGAGAAAACAGCAGTGTTTCTAAATTAAAATCTCTATAATATAGAACTTTAAATATGAATGCATAACTGCATTAATAAATGTGTTGCAAGCAGGCATTTGACCAGTCGACCTACACCATTAAAAACTTTTACATCTAAATTCGTCATATGGGTAAAAAACAAAAAAACCCTGCTCCCTGGGAAAATAGGGGTTTACCATATAATCAGGGTTTTATTCCTGTGAATGTTTAGCAGGTACACGGCCCATTTTCAGAAAAGAGGGATGTGTGCCGATAGATGTTTACCTGGATCATCGGCTGTGGTGCGGCCACTTTAGGACATACACCCAAACAATCCTGTGAGACAGGAGGGAAGTTAGATACCCATTGCTGTCGAGTCCATTCTGACTCACAGTGACCCTATAGGACAGATTAGAGCTGTCCCAAGGCTGTAATCTTTATGGAACCAGACTGCCACATCTTTCTCCCATGGAGCGGCTGGTGGGTTCGAAT